GGGTGAGCGGGCCGAGCGGTGCGGCGGCTCGGGCGTGCGCATGCGCGGGGCACGGCGCGGGATCGGTGGTCTGCGGTTGCTTCGGGTATTTTGGAAGTAGTATTAATGCACTTTTTTTTTGTTCTTGACCTCAGATCCGGAGGTCTTTGAAATTGTTCTCCCCATCACTGTCCTTCTGCTGAGCGATGATGATTTTCTCCAAGAGGACGCTGAGAAGCAAGCAGCGTCGGTTGCCGAGTTGGAGGAGAATGGGCAGGAGGTTAATTTAGGCGATGGCCTTGTCCTAAAAAGCAGTGCGACACCTTCAGATTACAGTAACAGTTTAAGCATTTGGGAGGAAAACAAGTATGCTTCCAGTGAGTGTCATAGTGGGAAATGCTCTGAAGAAAAACAGGTTGCCGTGAGTGTGTGTAACATGTCAAAATCATCTTTAAGTGATGGATGCGATGCAGGCACAGACAAATATAGTGAAAATGATGCATTGCCTACATCATCTTGCGAAGCGGAGCTTACAGAGGGAAGTGAAACCAGTGACAGAAAACAGTGTGATGGTGATGACAGCTTTCAGCAGATTCCTCCTCTCTTTTGTTCTGGCACTGAGGGTAGAGATGGCTCCAAGGCAGACAGACACTTGACACTGGCAGCAATACCTGAATGTGAAGAGGAACTTGTCAATGCTGCAAGAGTTCTTTCTGATGGCAGTCAAGAAAAACAACCAGAAGCTCACAAGGAGTTGGAGACGATTGTTGAAATGGAAGGTAACTTGTTAATGAGACTAGTATAAGAGTTTTAAGATATCTGATAAATCTCGAGTTTTAGAAATAGGTAGGAAAGTGTATAGGAAGAATGCCAAGCACATTTATTTTAGAGTAAACACTTCAGCATAGGTTAGCATCATGCAGCAGAAAGATACTGTTTCATTCTGCCGCAGCTTGCAAAAGGGTGGCCTTTCATTGGGGAAGAGGATTTAGAGGGGTGGAGGGGAAAGCAGAAGGAGCATCATACTTGTGAGAATGGACTCCTAGCAGAGTTTGGTGGCCATACTTTCATAGGAATTCTGGTATATGACTGTTTCATTAAGCAGTGTATGGGGATGCAGTGGTGTCATGTGAAATTCAGAGCTTAACTAAGATTTCTTCCCTTAAAATATTATTTATATGTTTTTGGGGGAAGCATAGAGAGACGTGGATAAAAGTGGAGATAGGATAAATTAAGGAAGCAAGGGGTGTGAAGAGCAAGGAAGTAGTTAGACAATTTGGAATTATTGCTACCAATTAATCATTAATACTGTGATTGTATGAAATATAGCTTTAACATATAACTTTATCCCTCTGTAGATCCTGATCCTTCAAAGAATGGAGACAATGAAGCTAATAACAGAAAAAGTGAGAAAATCGAATTTGAAGACGAAACTCTGAGTTCTCTTTTGAGGAAGAAGGAAGAGCCAGAATTTACCTACAGTTGTTCTGCTCCATTTCTTAATGGATGTTCTACTTCAGAAGGATTGCTAAAAGAGGTAGGGAAACTGGAAATGAACGCTTCCACTTCTGCTGAATCAAATCCTACTGATGAACTTAATTGTAGGACATTAACGCCACTTCCTAAAAAAAGATATCGGCAACAAAAGGTTGTTTCTCCTCATGCAAGCCCAAAAGAATTGCAAAGCCACCAAGAAGGTTTAGCATGTATAAGTAATACTGTGACCATCAAACCTCTTTCTAGAGCATCTTGTTCCATAAATAAGCGTGAAAGCTTGAATTTGAAGTGTAGGTTTTGTAGTTCTGTGCATAAATGCAATGCGCATCTAAAGAAACATCTTTATGCAGCTCATAAAGATAAGAAGATACATAAATGCTGCTTCTGTAAAAGAACCTTTTTCTTTTCTGTCAGTCTTAAGAACCACCTTAAATTTCATAAGAAAATGAATAGGTTGCAGAAGTCAAGAAAAAATAGAATGACTACAAGAAAAGTTAGGCATCAAAGATCTGAAAAAGGAAAATCTGAGACCAAGAAAAAAGAAAGTAAATATGAGAAACTTTTCATGAAAATTGAAAGGGACCTTACCCCTCTGCGTGTGCCTGCTAGTTTTACCTGCAAAATTTGTTTCTTTGCTTCACCAAATCCTAGGGTTTTTTTTAATCACATGAAGGGACATAAGGAGAGACCGCCTTATCAATGTCCTCAGTGTGACTACTCCTGCATTAGCTTATGCCATCTGCTAAATCACATGTACTGGCACGCTGGGTACAAGCTGTACCGGTGCAGGTTTTGCACCTTTTTTTCGCTGTATTTTTCAAGCATGGTGAGGCATAGCTACATACACACAGGGGCTAAACCATATGCCTGTAAGTTCTGCCCATCAGCATTCAGAAGCCCCACAGCATTAAAGAGACACAGAAGAGTACATGTAGACAAAGAAGCATGCCAAGAGCAGCAGCCTGACTTTGTAACTGGAAGAAGGAAAATGCGAAGACCTCTAAAGAAGTATACATGTGATGAGTGTCATATGGTATTTTACACTAGGGGAGATACCCGCTTTCATAAGAAATTCCATGGACCGTTTAAGGCTGCTGCTAATGGTTACGTGAATCAGAGCAATGAGTATCATAAAAGCAAAATATGTGAGGCTGAGAGTGATTGTCAGGACGATGTTTCTCTGTCTCCTCCTAGTAAAGAAAATTATTGTCTCAGTGGGGGATTGCTGGCTTCAGAAGTAGACTTTGAGCAGGCAGGTGATGTACAAGACAATAAGGATATGTGCTGTGGAAAGAAATCCCCTGAAAACAGCCACGGAAGCAACAGCTTACCTATTATTGGGAATCGATCAGAAGTTTCTCTGAATTCATATAAAAAGGACACAGCTTTTTCCAAAGAGGAACCTCTCTTCGATTCCAAAGCCTCTCATTCACAAGTTGAGGATGATGATGCATATCATAGATTTGTGGAGAACTTACGGAGTACGTGGCCTTCCAATTTGTCTGCGTTTAAAACGTACAAGTGCCAACACTGCAATTATGCTAGCGCTGTTCAAAGCAACTTGAAGCTGCACCTGGGAATACATACAGATGAAAGGCCATTTGCCTGTAAAGAAGGCAATAAGACATTTAAAACGTCAAACCATTTGCAGAAACACAGCCTTATTCACGTAAAGGATAGGTATGAGTTTGGCCATTGCCTCTGTGTAGACAGCCATTCAGAGAACCTAGAATTGCATCATGAAATGCATGTAGGCATGTGTCCAGAAAGAGATTTTGGTTCCTCAGAGGATTCAAAGATCGTTCGTTCTTTGCTTGGTTCGGAAGTCTGTGGAGTCCAGCCGGATGTCCAGAAGGGCAAAGAAAATGATTTGCTAGCACAAAGCCAGCTACGATTCTATCAGTGTGCAGAGTGCAAGTATGCTACTCGCCTTTTAAGCAACTTTAGAGTACATGTAAGGACTCACACAGGTGAGAAACCTTACAGCTGCGGTGTTTGTCAGAAGAAGTTTCGTACTTCCAGTCACCTGAAAAGGCACGGGATCACCCATTACAATTTACGTCATCTGAAGTGCAGGAACTGTGACTACTCCACAAATAAATGGCTGTCCTTGAAACGGCATCTGGCCTCACACTCTCCTGAGGGAAGCTTGTCTGCTGGCTGTTTCTTTGAACAACAGCCACTACCCATCAAAACCTACACGTGTGAAGAGTGTGGCTATTCGACAGTCCGCAGTGGGAACTTGAAGTTACACTTGAGGATTCATACAGGGGAGAGGCCGTTCAAGTGCAGTCATTGCGCGGTGGCTTTCCGCACCTCAAGCCACCTGAAGCGCCACTTACTGATTCATTTAAAGTTGCAGTGCAGAAGGTGCAGGTTTGCTACGACAGATAAACGTGCTTTCCAAAAACATTTGAAAACACACGTGAAGAAGTTCAAATGTGGAAAGTGTGATGTGGTCCTGCCTACCAGAAAACTTCTGGAGAAGCATGAGCAACAACATAAGCTGGGAATATAAGCTTGGGAATTGCAAGTTGGCGCTCGGCTCTGGAGAGGTTTGCGTGTCCTGGGTTTGTTCATTGCTTTATGTTATCCTGCTGTCCCCAGAACGATGGCTGGTGATGGATGCTTCCAGCCTTTTGGGCCAGAGAGTGAAACTCAGGGTACTGCTTGGCTCGCAGGTTCTTCTGAGACCTTCAGTTCTAGCACAGGCTGTGCGGAAGAAGAACTTGGAGGCACTTTTTCATGCCCGAGTAACTTCTTTATACTGTCATGTCAGTTATGATTTGGCCAAGCTTCATAATTTTAAACAGCTATTCTGTGACACTTGTTTTCATGAAAAAAAAAGATAAATCTCTTGTCTAGCTGAAAGAATGTTTAAAGGGAGGTGTTGGGGTTTAACATTCTTTCTGTTTTCCTTTAAAACATCCAGAAGGAAGTGCGCAGTATATTGTATAGTAATAACTTTTCATTTAAATACGTTGTGTTTGGAGGCTTAATGCTACTTCCCATCTACTGGAAGTTGCATTTCCTACTCCCATGTTCTCTTACAATACTTGTGAGAGACTATTTTTTTTTTTTCCTCTTGCAGAATTACAGAAACAGAAGATTGGTGTCATCACTGGATAACTGGGTTATGAAAATGTTTTCTTTATTTGTGTATGTATAAATGGTTTACTAGGCAGTTCTCTGTAGTTTTGATAATTTTTTGCATAGCCTGACAGAAATCATTATATTGTCCTTATTCAGATATTTTATGACCCTGAAACTCCTTAAACTAATCTTTAATTTTAAATGGCTAATGTTAATCTTGTATGAAATGCCTTCTCTGCTCAGCCTGCTTATTACTGTGCTCTTTGTTTCTTAAAATAGACAGTATCATACTTCCCAAAGAAATTTTGTTAATTTAACCACCTGCTGATATATTGCAAATACTACTCATTTACATTGAAAACCTTAGCAGTATCTTGAACTCTAAAACCTCTTGTGTTAAAGAGCTTTATGTGCATCTGAAATACCACGTATAAGCACCACTTGACCCCAACAGCAGTTGTTAGCTGGTAGGTGAAGACAGACAGACATTTCTTCCACATTATATTGAAATATAGACAAATCTTTGCTTGTTTTAGAGTTATAGAGTGCTAGAAACTGTGTGGATATCACTCTGTAAAATGTTCGGTCGTATTGGTAACAGTGGTGTTTGCTGCTTGTGTGAGGAAAGCCAATGGAAGGGCTGGTGCTAACTGTCTCCTCCTGTAAGAGTTAGTCCATGAAACAGCAGATAGATAATCTGCTGATAACAGCAGATAGATAAACCTATAGATAATTTAGAGAATGTAAACATGAAAGCTTTTTTACTGTTCTCAAATGTGCGCTTTTCTTTATAAATATAGATTATAGCTTGCAGAGGCTTTTTGATAACGTAGGAGACAGGTTGAAACGGTTACCCAGAGAGGTGGAGCCTCCTGTGGAGATACTCAAAAACATCTCAACGTGGTTCTGGGCAACCAGCTCTGGGTGGACCTGCGTGAGCAGGGGTTTGGACCAGAAGACCCCCAGAAGTCCCACAGCCATGCTGTGATTCGAAATGCATTTTCCAAGAGAGTAAAGAAACTCGTGAATACGTGCATGTTTTTAAGGCCAGATCAGAAAAGGCATTTCAGTTCTTTGCAGTTGCAGTAAAATAAGGCAAGTAAATACCTGTGACTGATGGTTATAGATGTATTCACTATAGGCTGGTAGTACTGTAGTTGTAACATTATCCTGATACAAATAGGGAAAAATGCTTCTGGGAAATACTAGCCGTGTTACACAAGCACGGAGGAATTTTTACCTGCGTTACTGTATAATTGTCATTTATTTGAAGAAAAAAAAATCAAAAGAAGAGGTACAAAGAGGAGAAAAAAATTGTGAAGAGGATTTTAAGCCTGTGTGTCAGATGAGACTGGGAAAGCTAAATTTGATAAATAATTGTTTAAAAGTATGATGTACAGGGATGAGGAAGGAAGATGATTTAAGGGGGATGAATAGAAATTTTTTTAAAAAGAGTTTGTGAATAGCATAAATTTCAGTTGTAGTTAAGAACAACAAAAGACATTTTCAGGTGGAGCTTAATGAGTTGTTTGTAAAAGTGATTAATCCAGGTGGTTACCTGTAATAAAAAGAAAGAAAAAGTGTGTCATGACTCATGAGGTTCCTCTCTGTTCCTTACAAAATGCGCTGCACTTTTGGGGGTGGGGAGTGATTCTCAGTCTGCCCGCTCAGAGACATTGAAACCTAAAGGCATACCCTTTGGAAAATATGGACAGGGGCTCTTCTTGTTAATTGTTTTTTTACCAGCTAAAAGTGTATTATTGTTTTTTATTCTTGCAGAGTTCTGACACGAAGCCTTTCCTAAACCATGCTATGAAGTTTTCTATCTCAACTAAAAACTTGGCTTAGTTTTCTATGTGAATGCATCCTGAATTTGAACCAAATGGTAATGGGAAGTCACACTGATGGCAACCAACTTGAGCAAATAGGCATCGTTCTATGCAGAGTAGAAGTTAAACACAGGGTGAAGTAAATGAATATAGGGGATGTGATTAACCACTGATTTATCTACAACAGAAGGAAGGACATGCTCTTTAACATTTTATTTTACCGTATGCTACTGCATCAGTTCCCATTTGGAACTGCTGTGGCCAGCAGGTGTAGGGAGGTGATTCTGCCCCTCTACTCTGCTCTGGTGAGACCCCACCTGGAGTGCT